GGTGCTGGCACAGGAACTGGATTTGGGCCAGGCGGTGCTGGCACAGGAACTGGATTTGGGCCAGGCGGTGCTGGCACAGGAACTGGATTTGGGCCAGGCGGTGCTGGCACAGGAACTGGATTTGGGCCGGGCGGTGCTGGCACAGGAACTGGAGGCTTCGGTCCTGGGGCAGGAACTGGGGGCTTCGGACTTGGTGGTGCTGGGGCAGGAACTGGGTTTGGACCTGGTGGTGCTGGGGCAGGAACTGGGTTTGGACCTGGTGGCCAAACATTAGGAAAACAAAAGCCTTCCAAGTCTGGTACGTAAGATACACACAAGTTATTGATGATTTAAACCCATGAACAGATAAAAATGACTGTTTGATGCATCGTTTAAAACTAATTATTGAACATTCTTCTGACTTTCTTTCCAGGTTATGTTGGACCTGGTTATGGAACAGGTGGGTTTGTTTGTTCATTTATTTGTTCATATTTACTTTAATAATGACTATTGGTGAGGTTGTTTTATTTAAACCATTTTTTCTAGTAGGAAGCTTAGGAGGAGCAGCTGGTCTTGGAGGAGCAGGTTCTGGAGGAGCAGGAGCTAGACCTGGTGGTTTTGGGCCCGGAGGATATGGTCCAGGTGGCACTGGAACAGGTGGCTTTGGTCCAGGAGGAGCTGGAAGCCTGCCAGGGGGGGTTGGACCTGGTGGGAGTGTTGGATATGGACCCAGTGGCCAAACACTTGGAACAAGAAAGCCTGCTAAGTCTGGTTATGGTTCTTCTATGGGTGGAACTGGTTATGGGCCAGGTAAAATCTTATAATAGTGTATATAATAAATCTAACAAAGAATATTTAGATATTTTAATAGTGTTGCTAGTTGTTACAACTTTGAGGACTGATAAAACTTTGACGATTGAGAAATCTGAAAGGATTATCATTTATCTATATAATCTATATTATTATATATAAATATTAAATATAGACTATATATATATATATTTTGTTTTTATTTTAAATGACCTATAATATCTCCTTCACATTCACGTTTACCCGCTGCAGGAGCAGGTTTTCCAAATACGGGATCAGGAGGTATTTTGGGAGGAGGCCCAGGTGATTGTTTTTTTTTTGTTTGTTTTTTTAAGAAGATGCAAAACAAATATAGAAAATAACCAAATGAATTAAAATGTAACTCATATTAGAGCAACATAAATATTTACTTGACAACAACACCAGTACTTTCCCATCACATTATATAAATGTATCCAAAACATTCTAATCACAGTTGTTGTAAAACATTGTACTTTATGTGTAATAACCTAATGTGGCTGTTGTAATTACTGATGTGCTCCTTCGGGCAATGTAGGAGGAGGAATAGGAGGGGCAGGAGGAACCAGCCAAAGCATGGGAGGAGCCGGGGGCCTACCAGGTTAGTTCAAGATGAGTCCTGGCAAAAATTTCACCAGTTATTTCAATTTGACGGGCTGTATTTATATACAGTACGGTATTTGAAAATAATCACAGTCATATCTATGTAATTTAAAAAATGCCTCCCTGTTTGTTACTCCAGCAGGAGGCGCTGGCCCAGGATACGGTGGAGTGGCTGGAGGAGGATATCCAGGTAAAACTAACCTTGACCACAGAACAAGCATCGTTGAGGCAAATTATTAATAAACCTTTTCACTCATTGTTGGTGTCATTTTAACACTCGTGGCTCTGCTGAGGTTTAAAGAAAATGAATGAAACTCCTGAGAACTTTATGAACTCTTGTCTTTCCTGTGATTGTTCTCCAGGATATGCAGGAACTGGACAAAAATGTAAGAAAACTCACTTTGTCTTCTGGGAAAAAGCATGCTCTAATAAATCTTAGTGCCTGAACATACAGCCCATCGTTAACACAAAATCACCACGCTGTGATATAAACTTGGATGTAGGCAAGCAGCTTTTCTGTCCTTCATGTTTTGGCATCATTTTAGTTCAGTGATTTAATCTAAACTATAAAAAAGTCACAATTTGTGATTTTATTAGATCTAGTAATTATTGTGTTACTTAAATAAAAGTAGGAGTTAACTGTGAAAATTGTTACAAAATGAAATTTAATTAAAAGGCATTTTAATTTTTCTCCAGCCAAGGCACAAAAAGCAGCCAAGTATGCAGCCATGCAGGCCTTACTTGGAGCTGGAGGCTACAGAGGTAAAGCATCACACACAGAGGATCTGTCAGCATTGAGCCATAAACAATCACAGAATGACCTCACATTTTAATTTCATGTAACTCTAGAGAAATTGCATTTCCTGCAAAAATACAGTGTGAATGCTTATTGCTGAAGAACTTGTTGAAAAACAGCTGAAATTTGCTTAAAAAATACTGCTGAAACGTAGCTGAAATGGAAGAACAAGCCTAAATTAGCAGAAGAAAGAAAAAAGAACACATACTTGCTGAATTAGGGTTAAATAAGCAGAAATTAGCACAAAAATTAGGAAATCGGCAAAAAAAGAAGGTCAAATTAGCAAAACAATATCTAAAAGATAGCCAAAAAGGTAGAAAGAAGCTTAAGCTATGAGAAGTAGAAACAGCTAAAATGAGCAACAAAAAAAAAAAAAGTGAAATTAGCTGAAAAGGCTAAAATGTGCAGAAAAACAGTTAAATAGTAGCTGAAATAGCAAAAAAAGCTGAAACTAGCTGAAAAAAGCTGAAAGGAGCATAACAAACTGAAATTAGCAGAAATAAGTTTATTAGGTTGAAAGTAGCAAGAATTACCAAGAAAAACTTGACTTTATCAGCAAACATCTGAATTTAGCTAAAAAGAAATTCTAAAATGGTAGCTGAAAAGGGATAACAAATAAATTAGCATTTGAAAGTAGAAAGAACGCATGTTTGCCCAGTTACGCTGAAAGAAACAGAAATGAGCACAAAAAGTCTCTTTCACTGTTTTTCAGAGTCAGAGTCTCTGAAAAAGTAGAAATTATCTGAAAAAAGCTTAAACTGCAACAATACAGCTGAAAAGAAGCTAAAAGGGCAGGGAAAAAAGCTTAAATTACCAGAAGGAAGTGGAGAGAGCATATTTTTGTTGAATTAGGTTGAAAAAACTTTAATGAGTGCAAAAATTTGGAATTAGCTGAAAAAGCTTAAATTAGCATAAACAGCTACATAGTAGCTGAAATGGTAAAAAGCTGAAACTTGCAGGAATAAGCTGAAAGGCGCATAACAAGCTGAAATTAGCAAAAAGAAGTTAGAAGAAGCACAAAAATGTTGTAGTTAGCAGAAAGAATCTGAAATGAGTACACAACAGCTGAAATCAGCTTAAATTAGCTGTAAGTAGCTTGAAAAAAAGTTTAAATTTACACAAGAAAGCTGAAAGAAGCTGAAGCAGAACAAAATGTCAAAGGAGCAGTAAAAGGTTGTAAACAGATCTAACTAAAGATCTGAAGGATGTAAAATGAGCTCAATGCATTTTCTGAGGAAAAACGGCAGAAAAGGCTAAATATTTCAAAAAGCTAAAGTTGCACCAATACCAGAAGTCATAGCAGGATTGTCCTGAAAGAGCTGAATGTTTTGATATACGATTTGTTGAAATAGTTTGAAAACTGTGGGAAGAGAATCGTGCTCGAAAAACGTGCGGAAGAAAAATAGATCACAATAGTGTGAAACTGAATGCTTCATAAACTTTCACACTATTATCATCAGGACCACTTTTAGGCATGAGGTGCAAATGTTCCTGTTTCATAAGGAGGTTTTTTTTTTTTTTTTTTTTTTTATCATCTGCTGTTTGTGATGAGGAAGATATTTTGACTTTGATGTGTCGTGTGAAGAAAGACAAAATCATTTTTTTAAGTATCTCCATCTTTGGCAGAGCCTGAAGATGTGTGCCGTTTGTTTAACTGTGAATAACTGTCAACTCTCTGGTCATTAGGCGGAGGCTGTCAGGGTAACTACTGTGGCCGGAGGCGGAAGTGAAAGACCAACAGACAGGAAGTGACCTCATTGAAACAACAGTGGTGCTACAGCATGAATACAGATTGTGAATGTCCTACATGACCACATTTCACAGGTTACATTTTTGTTGTCTAAATTTAACAGAGGATGCTTTTTTACCATTTTTCTCATCAAAGCAAATTATTCCCATCAATGAATCAAAGTGCAGCTTTTAGTGGGTCCAAACTTCCAGGTCGAGAAGCTGAAATAAAAAGTGAGCTATTTGTTTTTCAGGTCAAGTTGTTTTATGACTGTTTAATTTTTGTGTTCCTGTATGAGAATCAGCACAAATTTTCTGCGCTGAGACTACCAAGGTCTCCCTCAGGGCAGCTCCACGCTGACGCTCAGCGAACACTAATAATGATCAGTTTGAGTATTTAAATCAAAAATCAAACACGTGGCTTGTCTTTGGAGACAGCTGTCAGTTTTGGGAACAATGAATGTTATTTTTTTGTGTGTGTTTTGACTGTTAATTGTCTGATCCATGAAAAGCTAGCCCTGCTCATGTCACTGTACTCAGACCTGTTAGTTACACTCGATAGATGCTTCCACTCACATTCACAGCACAGTTTTACTGCTAACTAACTCCAATATGTTCAAGTGTAAAATGTCCGTTAGCGTTTATTATGTTTTTACAAGGATACATTTGTCTTGTGAGTTAGATACGACTTTGTTTTTGCATTTGTGACATGAGCATTTTAACTAAATGTTGAGGTAGCCTGATTTAAAAAAAAACATGATGATGCATTCAAATGACATCTGAGGAGTTTAGAGTACTGTGGTTTCCTTGCTTTGACAAACCTCCATGAACACTGTTGAAAATTGCTCGTGTTTACTAGAATTTTTAAATTGTGCTGAGAAATGCTTTGTCTCATTCTACAAATGTAATGCATTATAAAGTGTTTGGTTTATGCTTTTGGTGAGTGCGTGTTTAAACCTCTGTAACACTTTAATAGCCAGATGTGCTTTCGCCTATACGTTTTCCTTGAATGTATTTTGAATTAGAACGCAATCTGTAATGTTATGAGAATAAAAACAAACAAACAAACATGTAATTGAATTTTATTATATGTTTGAGCATGTATTTGTGTCTATCATGCAGCTCAGCATGTGTTTTTACCATCTCTGTTGTTCATATGGACTATAAAGAAAATGATGCACTTTTGTACATTTATTACTGAAATAAAGAAATGACTAATAAGACCTGACTCATTGGATTCAATTTATTGTTGTTTAAATTTATATATATATATATATATATATATATATATATAAATTTA